TATTATTATTGTTATTGATTATTTATTTAAATATTGATTGATTTTTTTTTCGTACTCCGCCATTTTGATCGTGAAAAAAAGAAGGAAAATTATTTTAAATAAATTACGCGATAATTTTTTTTTTCTTTTTTCTTTTCCTTAGTAAATAATAATAATAATGATAAAGAGTTTCGTGAAAGGTTCGTGTTAGGAAAACTTTTACGAATGATGATGATGATGATAATAACAATAATAATAATAATCGATCGATTCCGACCTATTTTCGGAAATTTCAAACAAAAAAAAAGTTAGTTTTCGCCATTTTATTTCTGTTTTTATTTTGTTTTATTATTTATTTTTATTTTTTTCTCACGGGTAATATTAATAAGTGATAACTCTTATCAATTTATTTACTTATTAAAAAAAATTATTTTTTTAATTAAATCGTTTTTAGGGTTTAAAAAAAAAAAAAAAGTAAGAAAAGAAAAAGAAAAGTAATTAATTAAGGTTACGAGGTTTTTAGGTTTTTGGTTTTTTTTTCTTTTCTTTTCTTTTTCTTTTTCTTTTATTTTTACAGAATGAATTGTTGTTAATTATTATTATTATTATTATTATTATTATTATTATTATTATTATTATTATTATTATTATTATTATTAAATCTGTTGTTGTTGTTGTGGTGGTGGTGGTTGTTGTTGTTGTTATTGTTGTTAACAATAAAATTAATTAAAAGAATTTTTTTACGCTCGAAATTTATTTTTAAAAGATAAAAAATTTTTATTTATTTATTTATTTTTTGTGGTTAATAATTAAAAATTTTAATCGCGATTAATAATAATAATAATGGTAATAATAAACGTCGATGATGATGATGATGATGATGATGATGATAATTATTTAAATTTTCTTTTATAAATAATTATTTATTTATTATGAAGCGGAAAGTAAAATTTAAAAGTAAATAAAAATAAAAAGAAATTATAAACAATAATTATTTATTACCATTTAATTATTTATATTATTATGGTTATTAAGGTCGCTGGAAAATTTATTTATTTATTTATGTATTTATTTATTAAAACTATTTACCCGTTTTTTTTCCTGATTATATTAACAATAAATAAGTAAATAAATAAATATTTTGTCGAACGTTCGTATTTATTTATTTATTTACTATTGTTATTGTTATCATCATCATTATTATTATTATTAATATTACGATCTTGGTAATTGTCATTAAAAAAAAAATTATTTGTTAAAGTTATGTATTAATAAAAAAAAAAATTGAAAATTTGATTTGACGAAAACGAATTTGTTGTTGTGGTTGTTGTTGTTGTCGTCGTTTTTTATTATCGATTTTTATATTGAGAAAAAAATATGGTAATAATAATAATAATAATTATGGAAAGGTGAAAAGTTTAAATTTTTTTATATTTTTATATTATTTTTTAATTAATGAAATATTTATTTATTTATTTATTTATGTATTTACGTGTGTTTATTAAAATTTTTCTTTTTTTTCCTCCTCGGTTCGCTTCGTTTGCGTTTTTTTTATTTTTATTTTTTAAACATTTTTAACGTGAATAATTATAAAAAATAAAAATTTATCATCATCATCATCGTCGTCGTCGTCGTCTTCGACGTCGTCGACGTCATTGCCATCATTATTATTATTATTATTCGTAAAAGAAGAAAAAAAAGGAAAATTTATGCTCGAGCGTAAAAAAAAAAAAAAACTCGATGTATATGAATTATTATTATTATTACTATTTTTGTCGTGGCGACATTTAAAAAACGACGAGATTTATTGATAATTTTTTTTTTTTCGAGTCATGACAAACAGGAACAAACGACAAACGGCGACAAACATTTAAAATTTAATTCGTCCTTTTTTTTTAGCGACGCCGCAAATCGAAATTTTCCATTCTGTTTGTTCTAAAATGACGAGAAATGATTTTTAATTATTATCATTATTATCATTTTTGTTTCAGATGACTGAAGAAATTCCAACGGAAATGAACGTTTTCATACCTCCCGTACCTCCTCCTCCTCCTCCTACCGCTCCTTCCGCTCTCCCATCAGAACAATTATTAACCAGCTCATCAACTGCTATACCTGCTAAATCTTTAACACATTTGCCAAAGCGTCCACCTGTTGATATCGAATTTAGTGACATCACGTATACCGTACCCACAGCAAAAGGTAAGCATTATTATTATTATCATTATCATCATCATCATTATCATCGTCGTCGTAGTCGTAATTAAACGTTGCGTAATTTACCGTCACTTTTTTATCCGTCAAAAAAAAAAAAAAAAAAATTAAAAACCGTCAAAAGTTATGTAAAAACTTATTTTTATTCATTTTATTACCATTATTATTATTATTATTATTATTATTATTATTATTATTATTATTATTATTATTATTATTATTATTATTATTATTATTATTATCATTATCATTATTATTATTATTTAACTCGTATTAAATATAAAAAGTAATGATAATGATAATAATTATAACGGTTTTTTTTTTTTATGTAACTTTTTATTAATGCTCATTTCTTTAATAAACGTACACCATCACCATCACCACCATTTTGTTTTTCGCTGATTGTTCTCTATTTAGCATCATCATCATCATCATCGTAACGGGAGTGTTGTGTCGTCACTAATGAAAATTATAATAATAATGATAATAATACTGGAGAAAATGAACTCGAAACTGTTTTTCTTTTTTCCAAAATGTCTGCCAAATATGTCCCAAGTAAGAAAAATAGAAAAAAAATTTTTTTTATTATTTGGCGACATTTATTATCATTATCATTATTATTATTATTAACGTAATTTTATTTAGAAAGGCCAAAAAATAAACAAAAAATTTTGGCAGTAAATTTATTAATAATAATAATAATGATTCTACATTGCGATTTTTTCTTTTCCTTGGCCGATTTCCAAACGTCACGAATTATTAATAATAATAAGAAAAATGGGGGGAAATTCAGGTACGGTGCCCAACCCTCTTGTCGTCGTCGTCGTCGTCGTGGTAATAGAAATGGCACGCGGGTCTTAAACCTTCATGGTGACGACGGCGACGGCGACGGAAAAAAAAAAGAAAATTTTTTTTTTTTTAAAATTCAAATCGAATATTTTCTTATTCTTCTTCCACTTGCACGTGGTTTTAATTTTAAATTTCCCAACGTGTTGCAAACGAAGTGGAAGGAAATTCAATATAAAAAAAATTAAATAATGTTGTTTGTTTGTTTGTACGTTTGAACGTTTGTCCGAAGGGGTTTTTTTTCTTTCATTTACAATAATAATAATAACATTATATATATTTTTTTTTTTGCGTAATTTTAGAAAGCACCTTTCTCTATCTCTATCTCTCTCATTCTCTCTCTCACTCACTCTATCTACTTAATGGATTTAAATTATCCGATTGATATGTTATTAACGCATGTACGCACGTATTACGCACGTAAAAAAAAAAAAACATAGATTGAGTTATTACATAAAAAAAAAAAACGCTCGCGTTCGTTAAATTTTTTTTACTTTCCTTTTTTTTTTTTCTTTTTTAAACGCGCACACACGTGTGTGCGAACGTGTGTGTGACACGTGACCAAACGAAACTTATCGATAAGACTTTTAAAAAAAATTTATTTGTTTATTTGTGATAACAACAACAACAAAAACAAACATGACCGATATAGAAGATTAACATTAAAACGATTTTTAAAAAAAATTTCGATTCGATTCCATTTTCGTCCAGTTTTAATTAACGTTAGCAAAAAAAATCAATAACTGTCCGGTAGCAAAATTCAAGGGGTAATAATAATAATGATAATGATAATAATTACGTAACGAGATAGTAAATTTTTTAATAAAAAAAAAAAAAATTGGTAAAGTTAGATCATCAAATATGTGTATATATATATATATGATTTGTATAGGAAAACGGTTAAACGAGTTTTTTGCGCGCGCTAGCATTTGCCAGGTGTGTTATTAATCAACGGAAAGAAAGGAATTAGTTAGTTACATAAAATTTTATGTATTTATTTATTTATTTATGTATTTATGTATTCATTTTTTTTATTTCAGGTTCAAAATTAATACTAAGAAATTTAAACGGTTTATTTCGTTCGGGTCATTTAACTGCCATATTGGGACCCTCGGGTTCTGGAAAAAGTACACTACTCAACGTGCTCGCCGGTTACAAGTGAGTATCCGTTATTTAAATCACGATGATGATGATGATGATGATAATAAGAGAGAGAGAGAGAGAGTGAATGTTTTTTGAAAAGAGCGATCGAAATAATTTTCCGTTCCGAGGGACCTTAATTTTCCACGTGAAGAATCGATCATTTTTATACGATCAGATGAATAAAATGGTCTTATTTTAACATCACATCCGGTTGTTTGTTTGTTTGGTGACGATGACGTGGCAAAAGACAAATGATAAATATTTCATAAACGTATATAGGGTTACCATTTGTTGTTGTAACCCCGCCCCCCTCCCCGTTTTAAAGGAATGGGATTTTTTCTTTCTTTTGTCGATGTGGTGATGTGCCATCACCATCGCGACAGCCACCCCGCGAGCGGTAATAATAATAATAATGAAGAGTTTTTTTGTTTGTTTTGCAGATCGGTCGGTTGCGGCGGAACGATTTTAACAAACGGACAACCCAGAGACATGGGTTTATTTAGAAAAATATCAAGGTACATAATGCAAGAGGATATAATACAACATAATTTAACCGTAGAAGAATGCATGATAATATCGGCAAATTTAAAATTAGGAAAATCTAGAAACAAAGAAGAAAAATTAGTCGCCGTAAGTAGTTTTTTTTTTAAAAAAAAAAAAAAAAAAAAACGGAAATTATTATAATTGCTAATGATGATGATGATGCGCCGTTTAATCACGTGATTTTCTCCCCTCCTCCCTCCCCCCCTCTCTCTTTTTTTTTAAAATGGATCGTTTGTTTGTTCGTTCGAAAGAGAACGGAATTTACAAAAAAAAAAATGGAAAAATGAAAAGAAAAAAACATGGCGGTGATTTATCCTCTCAAGTTTTCTTTTTTTTTAAAATATTATTTAATAATAATAATAATAATAATTATAATAATAATATGTTAATTTTTTTTAATGATAAAAAAAAAGAAAAAAGTTGGCGGCCGACACCGACATATCCGACATTGACCCCTTTCGAATCGAATGCAATTGCATTTAATAACAAAAAAAAAAAAAGAAAATGGCGGCGAAAACTTGAATGGAATCACATCATTTTTATTGTTTTTCTTTATGATAAAAAATAATAATAATAGTAATAATAATAATAATAATAATAATAAAAGAAACGAAAAGGATAAAGTTCGATCCATCGATCCATCCATTGATTTTCTTCCTTCCTAATTACTTTTCATCAAAACAAAAAAAAATATCAATGACCGATACCGTCGCCACTGCCACCGTCGCATCCGCCACCGCCATCGCCACACATCAGTTCGTTATTGATAATGATAACGATAATTAATTATTTTGCAACCGTATTATTGTCACGTCCGCTTAAATATTTGATATAAAAATACCCACATAAACATATATTCCCCAAAATGGTTCGCCTCGAGTTTTTTCTTTTTTTTTTTTTTTAACAACATTATCATCATCATCATCATCATTAACATTAACAAGAACATCACATTAACGATAAAAATTGTATCGAAATTTTTTTTTTTTTTTTGTTTTTCCGTCTGTTTGTTCGTTTGTTTGTTTAAAGCTCCTTGTCGTCATCGTCATCGTCGTCGTTTGACCCTAATTTAAAAATGTATATTAATTAATCATTCAAGGCGTTTTAAAAAGAGAGAGAGAAAGAGAGAGAAAAAAAAAGAACTTTACCTTGTTCACTTTTTTAAGTTTAAAGTTTAATTTTTTTTGTTGTTGTTGTCATTTTCAGGTAAACGAGATATTGGATATATTAAGGCTAAATAATTGCAGGAAAACATGGACGACAAAATTGTCCGGAGGTGAAAAAAAAAGACTGTCGATAGCTTTAGAATTGGTTAATAATCCTCCCGTTATTTTCTTAGACGAACCAACGACGTAAGTTATTATTATTATTATTATTATTTTATTTTCCACTATTTTAAAAAAGTTTTAAAAGAGAGAGAGAGAGAGAGAAAAAAACCCGTTTTCGTAACTCGTTTTTCTTTTTCCCCTCTCCTTCCCTTCCCACTACTTACTATTCCATTGGTGAAATTTATTTATTATTGCGAATAAAAATGAAAATCGATACATCGATCCGTCGATCGATCGATCGATCGATTATTTTTCAATTATTCGATAATAAGAGAGAGAGAGAAAGAGAGAGTAAGAATGGCAAAAAAAGAAAGAAAAAAAAATTTTTTGTTTTCGTGGCATTAACAACAACAACAACAACAACAATGACAACAAAAGGAAAACAAGATTTGAATTTTTAATTTAACGTAGGGGGAAGGAGGAGAGGGGAGGGGCATTAACTTTTCAAACATACCTAATTGCATATATAAAAAAAAGAAGGAGAAACAGGTTCAAGGTCAATATATGTATATTTTCTTCTTATTCAAAATGTTTTCTCTCTCTCTCTCTCTCGTGCTAGAGGAGAAGTTTTCTTTCTTTCTTTTTTTTTTTTTTGCTTGATTTCATTAAAAGAATTTTCAAAAAAAAAAATAATGATGATTAAATTCTAAACGCGTTTGCGTGTGTGCATGAGTGCGCGTGTCCGCGAGATTTAAATTTCCCTTTTATTAGTATTATTATTATCGCTGTCATCGCGGTGACACGAAACGAAAAGAAGCGGAAAAAAAGCGCCATTTTTATTCGATGGAACTTTTGCTTTCGAATCGAACGAATGGTGGTGAGGGAGCAGGGCAGAAAGGGAGGGGAATGGGGCCCCCCATTGAATTGTAAAGTGATGCAAATTTCGTTTTTGTTTTTTTTTTTTAAGTGACCTAAAACGATGTGTCGACATGCGACGGCGGCAGTGGCGACGGCCGCGGCCCCGTCGACACTCCGCCCCGCCATTTTCTAATTTTTGACGATTTTGTTTTTGTTTCCAGGGGTTTGGACGATCTTTCATCGTCTCAATGCATTTCGCTATTAAAAGTTCTCGCAATGGGTGGCAGAACGATAGTTTGTTCCATTCACACTCCGAGCGCGAGACTTTTTTCAATGTTCGATCACGTATACATAGTAGCACACGGATACTGCGTATTTCAAGGTTGCGTGAACGACATAGTACCATTTCTTCAAACGTTCGGTTTCAATTGTCCGACACATTACAATCCGGCGGATTTCAGTTAGTATTTAAAAAAATAAATAAATAAATAGACATATAAATGTGCGTAATAAAACTTATTTTATTTATTTTCTCTTGCAGTTATGGAAGTATCTTCCGGAGAATATGGTAATTACATAGATAAAATGGTGGCGGCCGTTGATAATGGTAAAATATACAAATGGATGAATCCGAATGGCGACAAATCGGAACCTTTGCCCACGTCGAGATTGACACCTATACAAAATAATAAAAAAGATTACAATTTCGATAGTTCCGGATGGTTACAATTTAGAATTTTGTTTAAAAGAATGTTATTGCAACTACTGAGAGATTATGTACGTTAAAACCTGCTCTTGTATCCATTCTTCACTAATCAATCAATCAATCAATCACTGATGATAATGATAATTTGTTTGTTGTTTATTGCAGAAATATTTATTGTTAAAAGTAATCCTGTATATTTTCGTGGCTTTTCTCGTCGGAGGAATGTTTTTTCAAATGGGTAACGACGCGTCGAAAACATTATTCAATTTGGGTTTTTGTTTCGTCACACTAATAGCTCTCTTATACTTTCCAATGATGCCCGTGCTTTTGCAATGTAAGTTTTTACCATGACCACACCCCCCGCCCCCCCCCGTCGCGCGTGTGTGCGTCGGGTTTTTTTTTTATAAACGTCACAAACGTTTTTTTTTTTTTGTTTTTCAGTTCCTTCGGAGGTTCAATTACTCAAAAGGGAATATTTCAATCGGTGGTACGGTCTCACGTCTTATTTTTTCGCCATGTCATTTTCCAGACTTCCGATACAATTGCTTTTGCCTAGCATATACACGATAATCGTTTACATTCTCACGAATCAACCGCTCGAATTGTACAGGTACCTTTGGTTTTGGTGCATAAGTTTGATCGTTGCCGTCACGTCCGAAAGTTTTGCACTCGTTCTATCATCTTCTCTGAGCGTTGTGGTAAGTTTTAACAAGTCAACGTGTCGTTGTCGATGATGAGTAAATAATAATAATAATAAAAAAATGAAATTTTCAGAATGGTATTTTCACCGGGCCAGCGCTTTCCGTTCCTCTCATGCTTCTCGCCGTTTACGGTTTAGGCTACGGATCCGCCAACACTCCGGTTTACATGAAATTATTCATGTCATTGAGTTATCTACGATACGGCCTCGAAGGTTTGGTCACGGCTATTTACGGTGGAAACAGACCTAATTTAATATGTCCGGCCGAAGACATATATTGTCACTATCGGAATCCGAAGACGATCATCGATTTGGCCGGAATGGAAAATGCGAGCTTGTGGGTGAGTGACTAGGATTTTACTAGTAAAATAATTTTTCTTTCTTTTTTTATTAAGATTTATAATATGATTTACAAAATGATTTTATTTTTCGTTTCAGTATGATGTTACGGCACTCTTCGGAATCGCTTTCACTTTTCGAATTGCCTGTTTCTTGCTTTTGAGGTATAGACTCTCCAAGAACAAAAAATTCACGGCTCTTCATCGTATCAGCAGGATAATCAAAGCGAATTTCGACCTGACAAGAAAATATTCGTAATTAATCACTCCGTATCCTCCCTCACTCTACTCTCACACACCCTACTCTCCACGTCTCTACTCTCAAACCCCCAACTCTCCACGTCAAACCCCTTACTCGAACCCCCTACTCAAACCCCAACTCTCCACGTCTACTCTCAAACCTCTTACTCAAACCCCTACTCAAACCCCCAACTCTCCACGTCAGACCCCTCACTCGAACCCCCAACTCTCCACGTCTACTCTCAAACCTCTTACTCAAACCCCCAACTCTCCACGTCAGACCCCGCACTCGAACCCCCAACTTTCCACGTCAGACCCCTCACTCGAACCCCCAACACTCCACGTCAGACCCCGCACTCGAACCCCCAACTCTCCACGTCAGACCCCTTACTCGAACCCCCAACTCTCCACGTCAGACCCCAACTCTCCACGTCAGACCCCTCACTCTCACTCTCTCTCTCTCGCGCTCACTCTCTCACTCTCTCTCTCTCTCTCTCTCGCGCTCGCGCTCACTCTCACTCTCTCTCGCGCTCACTCTCACTCTCTCTCTCTCGCGCTCACTCTCTCACTCTCTCTCTCTCGCGCTCACTCTCTCACTCTCTCTCTCGCGCTCACTCTCACTCTCTCTCTCTCTCTCTCTCTCGCGCTCGCGCTCACTCTCACTCTCTCTCTCACTCTCTCTCTCGCGCTCACTCTCACTCTCTCACTCTTCTCTCTCGCGCTCACTCTCACTCTCTCACTCTTCTCTCTCGCGCTCACTCTCTCACACTCCTCTCTCATTCTACTCTTTCACTCTTCTCTCTCACACTCCTCTCTCATTCTACTCTTTCACTCTTCTCTCTCACACTCCTCTCTCATTCTACTCTTTCACTCTTCTCTCTCACACTCCTCTCTCATTCTACTCTTTCACTCTTCTCTCTCACACTCCTCTCTCATTCTAATCTCTCACTCTTCTCTCTCACACTCCTCTCTCATTCTAATCTCTCACTCTTCTCTTTCACTCTTCTCTCTCACACTCCTCTCTCATTCTACTCTTTCACTCTTCTCTCTCACACTCCTCTCTCATTCTAATCTCTCACTCTTCTCTCTCACACTCCTCTCTCATTCTAATCTCTCATTCTTCTCTTTCACTCTTCTCTCTCACACTCCTCTCTCATTCTACTCTTTCACTCTCCTCTTTCACTCTTCTCTCTCACTCTCCTCTCTGTCTTCCTATGTCCAGAACCCTTGATTTGATTGTATCAATCCAAAAACTTGTCTTGAATTCTGTGATAAAAATATTTAAGTGCCGCGTTTATATATATATAAATATTAATTAATGTTAATTAAATCGATTATAGTAGATTTAAAAATAAAATTTTTTTTTCCTATCGATGTTATGTACATAAAATCTCAGTATATGCTTTTCTTTTTTTTTTTTTTTTTTACTACTTACTACCACTCGAAATTATAAGAAAATAATTAATTGTTAATTATAATTAATTTGATATTTTTCAATGTGAAAAATATCTATTAATAAAAAAAATTTTTTTTAAAAAAAAATATTTTTGATTTTTAAATTCCCCCCTTCCCCCTCCCCCCATCCCTATTTTATGTTACTATAAAGAAATAAATAAAAATGACTTACCTGAAAAATTTTTTTTTTTGAAAAAGATCCAATCCATGATGAAAATGATTTCTTAAAAAACTAAATACTCTCTACAACTTGGATTTAACTTTGTGGTTGTTGTTGTTGTTGTTGTTCTGGTTGTTGTTTGTGTCTACTCCTCCATCTAGTCACTTGTTACAAACTTCCAAAGCTTCTTGTCTTTCTTCCAATAATTCTTTTGCAGTCAATTCTAATTTTCCTTTTGAAAATCCATCCAAATTCAAACCCTGTAAAAAAAGAAAGAAAAAAAAAAACAACATTATCATTATTATTATTTCATCAAGGTTAATCCATGCAAGTTAATTAGTTTAATGTCACTATGTAATTAATAAATAAATTCATTTTAAAATTTATAATGATGATGATGATGATGATGACAAAGTCTTAAAAAAAAAAACTAAAACTAATAATTACAATCAAAATATTTATGATAATTTTGTGTATATATATATATATATTAGGTAACATGAAACAGAATCGATAAACAGAGAGAGAGAGAGAGAGAGAGAGAGAGAGAGAGAGTATTAATTAGTTTTTCAAATATTAATTCGTCATTATAAGCTGATTATAAGCATTTTTAATTATTAAAATGTGCTTTGCTCTCTCGTGTGACATTTGTATTATTGGCCTTGATGAATAACAATCCAGGGAATCAAAGAGATTATTAAATAGAAAAATTTACATTCAACAGGCTGTGTCCTAATAATATCAGCTTATACAAATAATTAATAATCAATGTAACTACAAATAAATTCCTATTTATAATAATTATCATTTTATCTGTTATGTTATTCGATTTAATGATTTGAATGATTTAAAATTTATATTGATATCTGAACGAAAAGTTTAAAAAGGAATTAATATTTATGATGATTGATTGGTTTTTTTTTTTGTGCTTACCTGTACAATTTTCCAATTTTTATTTTCAATGGTGACAGGAAATGAAAAAACAATATCTTTAGGAATGCCATATGATCCATCTGAAACGACACCCATCGATACCCAACACCCTGGTTGCGTTCCATGCCAAATATCTTTCATGTGATCCCCTGCAGCTTTGGCAGCAGACATTGCAGATGACATTTTCCTCGCTGAAATAACTGCTGCTCCTCTTTTTTGAATGGTCTGTGAAAAAAAATTTTTTTTAAATATGTAATTTTTATTATAAATAAAAAAACCAAACATGGTTGTTTGGGTTAATAATTATCATAGAATGATACTCAACTGTAACAAAATTCTCTTGTAACCATTTTGTATCATTGACGGCATCATAAACAGGCACTGGATTAGAACCTTGTTTATGAACAGTTGCATGAAAAACATCCGGATATTGAGTGCTGGAATGATTACCCCAAACTATAACATTTTTAACATTTGAAATTGGGACACCAAGTCTGAAAAAGAATACAGCCCAAATTAATTATTTTTTATTTTACATTTTTTTTAAACTTGGATTTCATTAAAAAAAATTAATTAAACTTACTTGAGAGCAATTTGAGCTGAAGCACGATTTTGATCAAGTCTCGTCATAGCAGAAAAATTTTCTTTCGGAATTGATGGTGCAAATTTTGAGCATATAAGAGCATTCGTATTAGCAGGATTGCCAACGACTAAAACTTTGACTGTTTTTTTAGCAAATTTGTCCAATGCTTCTCCCTATTAAAAAACAAAAAAAAAATTTATTAAGTACATTTAATAGAATTAAGAGACGAGGAAAAAAATTAAGAGACGATTAAAACAAACCTGAATTTTAAATATTTTAACATTGGCACTAAGTAAATCTTTTCTTTCCATTCCTTCTTTTCTTGGCATGGCACCGACAAGAAAAGCAGCATCAACATCTTTAAAGGCAACTCCAGGATCAGCTGTCGGTACAATTTCATAAAGTAATGGTAGAGCACAATCCGTTAGTTCCATTACAACACCTTCGAGAACTCCCATCATTGGTGGAATGTCCAAAAGATGAAGAATGAGAGGTTGATTAGGTCCGAATACATCTCCATGAGCAATTTGATATAGAAGAGAATAAGCAATTTGTCCGGCAGCTCCGGTAACAACAACTCGAATTGGTTCAGCACTCTAAAATATTTTTTAAAAAAATTTCTTAAATCCACAAGGCAAGATTTCACCAAGAAGTGAACCTGTTACCATAACGACAAGTGACTTTCGAAAGGTCATTTAAATAAAATTAAAAAAATATGATAAAAAATAAATTAATAGTTATTTAAAATTAACATAATTAATTTAAAACACAAAATAAAATAATAAAAATCAAAACTAAAAAGAATATTTAAAAAAAAGAAAAAATAGAAAATGAAATAATTTTAATTACCATTTTGTTTTAATAGTTAAACGATGCGATCTGAATAACAACTGACTGATGCCATCCACTCGTTACACAATTTAAATAGATATCTTAAGTTCCACATTTATCCGCTAAATGGCCAGAGCGCTAGTTGTTTTATTTTTTAAAATATTAATATTTTTATTTTTTAAAATATTTCTTTTTTCTTCCAAATTAAACAATTTTCACTTCACTTTTTCAAATAATTTCTCACAAAATGTTAATAAATATAATTAAAAGAAATGTGCACGACATTCAGCAGTTTCCATTTTTATTTTTACCCACCTTACTCGCTCAAACGATGCAGGTGAATGTAACAGGAAAAACGTCGTTCTAACTCAACAGGAAGTCGTGGGTTTCTATTTCCGGTTTTAAAATATTTTAAACAATGAGATTGTGCTCCGACGTTGTTTTATTTATAATATTTCGTTTTAAAACAAACCAAAGGGGGAATTTTATACTAAATAATTTTTTCTTTTAAACTCTTTCATATCATAACGACATATCATGCCAAATAATTATTTATTTCCCGTAAATAATAAAAATATAAATGGATGATAGGAGGGTAAACAGCTAAAAACCTTAAAAACCGCTTTTTCAAATTCAAAAATTTTTTTTTTCTTCGGATTTTTCTTTAATTTTAATATGAATCGACTTTAGCCATTCACGCCAACCGATCGTTAATTTCAAATTACTTACTTTCAACCCAATCGATTATCGAACTCGGATTAAAACTCGAACGAACAAACGACCATTTTTTTTAATTGTAAAATCGATAAAACTTTAAAAAAATTGAAATTTCCCTTTTGATTATAATTTTAATTCTTTTTTCTCGTTATTTTTCACGAAACCAAAACAAATAATAATAATAATAATGATAAATAATTTAAATTTAAAATACTATTTGTAATTCAATATATATAATAATAAAAATTATGATTTGTAATTTTTTTAAACAAACATCAAATTCAATAAAAAAAAAAAAAAAAAAAAAAAAAACTTTTTTTTTTCATCAGCACTGAAACCGAAGTTTTTCCTTTTTCTTTTCCTTTTTTCCTTTTTTCCTTTTTCCCCCCGATTCTCGCGGTTCGTCGGTTTTATAGCTTTTTTCTTTACATTTAAATAAATAAATATATATTTTATGTATGTATGTATATATATATATTTATATTTATTTATTTATTTATTTTTATTTATTAAAAAAAAAAAAAAAAAAAAAACCAAGTTACACTAAATTTAATAAACTAAAATACTTCTTTTTTTTTTAAATGTGTGTGTGTGTGTGAGTGTGTATGTGTATACATTTTCCTTTTGTTTGTTTGTTTTAAAATTAATTTAAATGGAATCCCTTTTCTCTTGTAGCTGCCAAAAGTCTTTCCCTTAATAATTCCTCGGTGGGATAATCGGGGAGTTTGAGATAATGTACGCAAGTGTTCACCGAGGGATACGAACCTTCTCCTGCATCGACTTTTCTCACGACGGTTAAACGAGGATATAAATTGGCCAAACCTCCCGGTGGCAACGAAGAACATCCCGTCGTGAATTGAAGGAATGCTTTCCTTTCGTCTGCTGACATTTTAACGAGAACGTTGACGAATCTCAAAAATCCCGGACTGAAACGAATGAAAAAAAAAAAAAAAAGGGATTCGTTATTAAACTTTCGATTGTTGAAAAGCCGGAAAAATTTTGTGTCCCCCCCCCCCCCACCTACCTGTCTCTCGTGTATCCCAATTTAGGTTCCGTGTAATTAAGAACGTCTTCTCTTGTCCAGTGAGGATTTTGATCACCGCAAAGCATTATTCGTACTTCATCCGGACTGAAAGCTTTTAATTTCGTTATCGGGAAAACTTTATTAAAACCGGAATGAAATGCGTTGAGCTGTCTCGTGATTCCTTTTTCTAAGCAAAAAGCAGTGGTCAAATCGCTGTATTCTTCAACGTTTTCCATCGTGACCTGAAAAACAAAAAGGAAGAAAGAAAACGATTGACGTGCCATCCGTACCTTTTTTCACCTCGAGATGAAGGAAGGGGGGGCGGCGGGGAAATTTACCTCTTTGTCGCAACTGCCGGGAGTTAATTCGGCGGCGGAAAAACCAAAAACTTGAGATGAAGGCAAGTAAGTAAAAGTTATGGCTAAATCTTCGAGACGAACGACGGGACCGGAAGAGGAAACTAAAGCTAAATTTTGTATTTGATGAGCTCGAGCTTCCGGACTTAATGTATTGTCTTGAGCTATTCGTGATTTTCGTGCTATGAGAGATTGTATCTGTCTTAGAAATCTACCCCTCACCGGATCCACTTCTGTTAAATCTTCGCAATTTAATATTCCGGAAAACCTGCGAGCAACACAAAAATTAGAAAAAAAAAAAAAATGAACACATTCGGGAGGGGGCGGCGGGGAACGAAACTCGGAAAACGTTTTCCTTTACCATGGTTTCGAATCGTCCGGATGTCCTTTCAACGGATCCGAATCCCAATCTTTTTCGCTTTCTTCCGATATATAAGACGAAACCATCAAATCGTCATCTATGGATTTCTTACACGAATTCGTACCGGGTAACAGGCCGATCCTTTCATTGACGTTATTATGTATCTCGCCGTGACACATGAGTTTTAAAAATGGCGTCGACAGTGGTAGATCGACCAAACGGTTATCTTGCAATACCTTAAAGAAAAAAAAAAGAATGGATTTCACGGGTCGAAACAACAACAACGACAACAACAACAATTTCAATCAATTGTCCGGTGTTCATACCTTAGCCAAAAAAACTCCGAGGAACCAAAAGTATGTACAAGCTCTATCACAGGCAGGAGAATCCTGAGGCAAAGGTGCCGGAAATAAACCCGAAGATCTTCGAACGTAATAGCCCTGCAACACGCATATCAACCATCATAAATTTCCATCACGTTTCAAAAGTTTTCTAAAGATAATCGAAACTTACCGGAGGTTTCATTCCTTCTCCAAGATCGATCGATATATCGGAATCTAAATTACTCGTATTGACGTCATCGTCGCAAAGCCACATTCCGAGATCTTTTCTTTGAAGTTCGGCGGCAACTAAAGCGTAAAATTCCAATGTCGGACCCAGACCAGTTCCCTCTTCTCCCTGAAACTCCACCTATTAAAAAAAAAAAAAATTAAAGTTAATACTTTGCCATTGTAAAAAAAAATCAATCAATCAATCAGTCAATCAATCAAACATTCACCTCCAAAATACTTTTTCTATCGGCGTGAATTTTCATCACTTGAATTGCCCAATCAAGTAATTTTTCTCCACGAGGAACTTTAACCCGTTCGTGTTTTAATCTACCCACGCGGAATTCGTGGGGATCATCTCTCCTGGGTGATAATCCCGGCGTTCGCTGCCTTTCCAATGTCACGTCCCTTTGAGTTTGCAACCATACGATGGACCTGAGTTTCAATAATAATAATAATTATAATAATAATAATAAAATTAAAAGAGAAGGAAGAAAATGCAAAGGAGGGTCGAGCGTTCTTTCACACTTACCTCGATGCTCCGAATGCCGTACAACTGAAATAAAGTTGACGAGTTTCAAAAGGAAACAAAAACGGACACGAATGATTCAATTCTTCGCACCAAGTCGGCAAAGCTCCCGATGATAAAACGAGGGGATCTTGAATTTGTTGCAAGAGTTTATTCGTGATCTTTTTACTCGTGAATTCGTCGGGATGCAAAATTTCGTCTGATTCTTTTTTTTAGCGGAAAAAAAGAAATAAAATACCCACGTTTACCTTATGGGAAAATTTATTCTTCTCAAGTTTAGCAAAAGAATTAAATAATAAAATACGTACCGTCTAAAATATTGCACATGGCTTCGTCTCTATACGTCATTATAACGAATAAATGACGAAGCAAATGAAGAACGTCTTCGACGGTACAACTCATGCTCGGAGAAACGGGAGTTTGAGGAGACAACAAACTTGAAAATAATCCCGAATTTTTACCGTGCCTCGAATATAGTGTGACCACGGGAGTAACAACGCTATTAATTTCACTTTCTTCTTCTTTTATTTCGCGATAGATAATCCTAAAAGGAAAAAAAAAAAAAAAAAAAAGTGGATTTCGGTTATTATTAGATACAGAGAGATCCCCTTTTTTTTCTTATTGATAATTGTTTGAATTTATCCTTACGTATACGTGGGCTCCCATATTCTTCTTAATTTTTCTTGCCTACTACCCAAATCGACGGCTTGAATAAGCTCTTGTACAGCCATAAATATCGTCCATTTAGGATCTTTCAATTCAATTTCGACATCTTGAACCTAAAAAAATTTTTTTTTAGTTTTCGGTTACGAATAAGAAGAATAAGAAAGAAGAAAGAAGAAAAAAAAATGGTACGCACTCCAGGTAAATTTGGACCCCTTAAAATCAATTGAAGTTTCGGTTGAGTTGTTAAACAGGTTTCCGTTGACGTGGTTGCTTCGCTCGCAAGTCCCGGTGCAGGTATTTCCAAATCGGTCGTTTGATTCACGTTTGTTCTTCCGGGTCTGGGATCGAATGCGGGGATAAGAGCGGAGAATTGACGTTTTAATATGTATTCGTCGTCCCAACTCCTTCTTTTTCCTCCCGTGTTTCTCGTATCAAACGTTTCTTCTTCCTGGAATTTTTTTTCAATTCGAAAATCGTTATACAATCAATAATATTTTTTTTTTTTTAAAGCAAGTTGCGCTGGTCATCATATACCAACCATAAATGCCAACAAATTCCTGCTCACTGTCACTTCTTCATAATCATCATCTTCGTTTTCATCATCGTTGTCATCGTTTTCATCATTATCATCGGGCATGTCATCATCATCGAGCTCTGCTAAAAGTGTTGGAGCACGACAGCTGTCCAGGAAATCCTACGCACAAATTAAATTATCATTATCATTTCTTCTTCTTCAATCAGAATTTAAATTTAGGGGGGGGGGAAAGAAAGAACGATTTCAACTGAGGAAATTCCAAGATTACCTCGAAGCTAACCTGCTCGCTCTCACTAGATGTCGACGTTAAACTCATTGTTAAAGCCTGGCTCAAGCAAGGTCCCGTTCCAGCGGTAGTCGATACGCATGTACCTGTTCCCGTGGGTCCGGATGAAGTCAAGCTGGGGTAACTTTGAGCGGTGCTGAGTAATCCGCCTGGGAAAAAATTTTCGCAACGTATAAGCATAAACAAAACTTTTTTTTTTTTTTTGTCAAATTACGCGAATCAGGAAACTCACCCGGAAAATTCGGCGATAAAGCTAAACGTACGAGGCTGGAAACGGAGGATGGACCCCGGGGAAACATTGAATTCCTATGATTCGTAGAATTTGTGTTATTTGCACTTGAATTGGTCGAGATCACAGTTTGATTATCATTTACAACGCTAGTATTACCCGCAACGGATCCTACAAAATTTCACAAAAAAAAATAAAAAATAAAAAATTAAACCTGATCGAAGAGAGCGGAAGTTCAAAAAAAAAAAAAAAGTTTCCTACCTAAAGTTCTCCTTCGCGCCATGGCGGCAAAAGTTTCCAAAAGTCCGGTCGTTCCGGTGTTTTCAATCGTATTATTTCCGGATGTCAAATTCGGTACGCTAACGCTCATCGGATTCGTGACGACAACGCTGTTGTTTCCATCTTTTCTATCTTTGTCTTTGTCCTTGTCTTTATCTTTATCTTTATCCTTATCCTTATCCTTATTATCCTTGTTTTCTTTATCTCTTTTCGTATTGACACTTTCTGCTCCCGCGTTGGTAACGGAAGGTTGTATCGGTTGATGACGATTTTTGATTCTTATGGCTCTTTCATCGGACACGTTATCACTTTCGCCACCGGTGACGCTTATGCGAACGCAAGGAGTTAAATTAGCAGCCATTAATCCCGACAGAAAACTGTTGGTGTTATTTCTCAGCAAATCTTGTCCTTCACGCATTTTATCGAAAACTTCGATGGTTTCCGCCGAAAGCAGGGTGTGAACTTCTCCGGGTGGTGGATTCGACGAAGACATCTTTTTAATCATAAAAAAAAAAATTAACTAAAATTCCATTCGCTCAAGCGTTCGCCATCATCCGTTCAACAGATTTTCCTTTTTCACAAACCTTATTCGTTCGAGACGGACAATAAAAGCTCTTGTTCAACACCGAACTGTTCGACAAAGCATTCGATGAAACGAGCAAATTAGTTTTCCCGACGGTCGCTTCAACGTTCCCCTTGTTTCCGTTATTATAAGTATTGGTAGTGTTGTTCGTTTGTATTTCATCGCTGCAAGAACTTTGACGCTTGACTTGTTGATTGCTGGTGCCACCAACTGAATTCAAACGCAATTTATAAGTACGTAAAGTCAAAAATACCTTAAGTATTGTATAAACGACACAACGACATACCGACGTAATTAGATTTTGTATCTAAGGTAAGAGTTTCAACGATTGTTGCGAGATCACTAGATCCTGCCGAAGATATTGAAGAGAGATCATGATGAGGTCCCCGCAAGGTATGAACAACCACGGATAATTCACTTCCGGGAGTGCTGTTATTTTTTTTGTTGCCTAAAAAAAAAAAGAAAAAATTTTCGAAAAATGAGATGTCTGTTGCCTAAAAAAAAAAAGAAGTAAAATGTTCTTCAAGTAAAATGATGACTCACCGGCAATGGCAACTTTAGCTTCGGCTCTGGCTATGGAAAGAACGCTATCAGCGATCGCTTCGGCTGCTTGTTTAGCTGCCAGATTATCGGCGGAAGCAGCTTGATCGGTGCTAGCGACGGATGTTTTCGAATGACTCTCGGTTGCATCCGGTAAGCTGGGTGTTGAGCTAGATTTTCTACTCGTGAGAACGCTTGTTTTCCCTTCGCTCTTGGCTTTACCTGATACATACATAAATCAAAATTACGGTAAAAGTTACAAAAAAAAAAAAAAAAAATTAATTATTGTAAAAGTAAGTCGAGCGTACCTGAAGGGACAACAGGTTTCGATGAAGAAACAGGAACAAAATTAGAATCCGATTCCGACATTACAGAAAGACGCAAATCATATTTGCCCTCTGCACCCATACGATAAGAATTACTACCCCCGTGATCCCAAGTGACGTCAATCCAACCTAAATTTCATTTAGAAAAAAAAAAAAAAAATTTTTTAAAATAATTTTCGATTGATTCACGTTTAATGTTTATGTAAATAATAATAATAATAATAATACTATTACTCACCGTCGTGAAGTTCTCCGCTAACCGTTCCTTCTCCCGGCGGGGGACCATCTTGATCGCGCCATTTCCAATCTAAACCGCGAACGACTCGAGCACCAACAACTAAATGCTTGAGAATTTGATTCCTCAGCAATCTTCTTTGTCGCCGAAGATTAGCTTCCGCTTCTTTAGCAGCTTTACCTGCGTGCAGACAATAACGATTAAATTTTACAATTTAACGACGAGACAAAAACAAAAAAAAAAAATCAAAAAAAATGAAAAAACCTAAATCTTCGCAAACACCCGTAACCATTCCGTAAACTTCGAATCCCGATAAGCTAAGATAATGAGCTTGACCGGATGCGTTTTTCCCCGTCTGCTGTAGTCTGACGTGTCTCCAACCCTGAGTCTCGTCCAAAGGAGGATCTAAAGGCCAAGAAGCTGTACTTCCGGGTTCGTTCAACGACGTGTCATCCGTATGAGTGTAAAGAGTGGTCCAATTCACGCCATCTTTTGAAACCTGAAAATATAACAATTTTTATTTTTTTTTAAAAATTTAAATCGAACTCTATTGACCATTCGGAAAAAAAACAATAATAATAATGATAATTACTTGAAACAACCAATTTCTTAAAGCTGATCTACCGTAACCGCGAGCGTGTCTGATTGTATAACAACTCGGAATCAACCACAAACCCAAATCGATGGCAAACCACGCTTTCCTATCGTCATTCGTATGACAATTCAAAGCCGACGAATCCCTGCTGAGAATGTCTTCCAATCTTCCGTAGGGTAAATTTCTGCCGTCCGATGACGTCACCATGACTAACCCGTATTGAGCAGGATTAACCCATTCCGAACTCGTTCTTGTAAAATAAGAAAAATTTTTTTTTTTTAAAACACAAATCGGAGATTACATATAAATCAAATGGAAAAGCTAAACTTACTTTCCGTTCGTTCCTATCCAATAAATGACACCATTTTCATCGAAATCCGTTTGATGTTTGAAATGAATCATTTGATTCGTTTCTTTTAATTTTCTAACGAATGAAAATGTGCTCCTATCGTAGTCGTACCATTGTTTAGCAACCATTTTCAACAAGTATTTTTCCAATTGCATCACAGTGCTCAACGGTTCCATTTTCAATCCTCTACCCGTTCTATCTATAAGAGATGATTCTCCCGCACCTTTTTCTAATCTAAATCGAAGTCTTCTAGTTAAAATCTAAAATAATTGCAAATAAGCAAATAAGTGAGTAAATAAAAAAAAAAATTCATTGTCAAACCTGTCAAGTTCTTATTACCTGTAATCCGTATCCAGAGCCGGGCGTATCGTACAAATAAACTGGTAACTTTTCAATTGATTCTAAAACGGATATGAGTTTGTGAACTAATATCATTCCCGCGTTTATGCTTCCATTTTCTCCATCTTTTTCTTTGAAACAATTTTTAAAAACTCTAACCCTTTGCTTTTGAAGTTTGGACGTTTTGTTACTTTTTTGACCTTCGTCCCACGGACCCGTGGACAATAGCGAGAGTAAAGCTTGAACCAAACCCGAACTGTGTAATTCGTAAGCAGATACGACTCCTTCCTCCGATAATAATTGGGATAATTCATCGAGTGCCGACTTGAAACAAAGACGAAAAACAAATAAAAAAAAAAGTGTCAAGTAGGAAAAGAAATTGAAAAAATTTAAAAAGTTTTTTTACTTTTAAAATTTCCCGCCAAGTGCTTCCATCTCTGAAATTCGTGTGTTGCTTTTGACAAGCCCGTTCGATTTGAGCCACGATGTTCCCCAATTTGGCGACGACACCCCGAGGTTGAGCTTGAGCAACTTTAAAATATTTATCGTAAATCTCTTGGGCTTGAATTTTAACCTGGAATTTAATTTAAATGGGATTCGTTAAACCGGAAATCGGGGGAGGGGGGGGAGGGGGAAGAGAATTAAAATCACAAAATTTCGAATTGCTCAAACCTTTTGTTTGATGGCTTCAATTTTCGATCGAAGCCGTTTTCCCTTCTTCCCGCTCCATCCTGCCGCAAATTCCGGACCGAGAGATGTTTCTGCGGTGAACGAGTGCTTGGTACCTCTGTTGCTCTCAAATATGAACCCAGGGAGATCCTCACGGAGTATTGTCGCTTGCTGGAACCCACACCATACACTCTACGTAGTTATACAATCAAAACAAAAGCCCCATCAATTGATCTTCTTAAGTCAATCACATGCAGAAAAGTAAGAGAAAAAAAAAAAAAAAAAAAGAGGAAAAAAAAAAAAAAAGAAAAAAAAAAAGAAAAGCGAAACCCCGAGGAAATTTTTTTTTTTTTTTTTATTAGTTAGTCAGTCTAATGAGTTTGAAAGAAACTTAAAAAGATCCGGTTCTCGATAAAATTAAAACAAAAAGAAAACGAAAACTTAAAAAAAAAAAAATAAAAAAATAAACATTTTTGTTAAAATGCACCAGAGGAAGAAGAAGAAGAATCTAACGAAATCAATGATCCTGACGAACGTGAGTCAAGGGAAAGTAGATCAATCGATCGATCATACACCATCACCACCACCACCACCACCACCACAGCCTCCTACATAAACACAATCAATGAGAAGGAAAGATAAAATCAAAATACCTGTTGACCATCCGAATTCAAAATGTGTATTTCCCCTTCCTTCCGACTGGACAAAGCCCAATTTCCCACGACCAAACGCGTCGGACCTGGATTCGATAGTAGAGGTTGACTCACGGAATTAGGTTTGACTTGAGCTCGAGCTCTTTGCAACTTTTCGAGAAATTCACCTCGGTTTTCTGAAATGTCAAATAAAAAAAATGATTTTCGTCTGCTTGTATAAGTTTAATTACAAAATACCCACGGCTCGACGTCACCTACCTTCTGTTGTTAAAGATTCCGTATTTCTTCCTTTACCTGAATAAAAGAGAAATGAAAAATGAAAATTAAATTCTTTCTTAGGGAAGACAGTGAGAGGGAGAGAGATAGAGAGAGAAAACAAACGGTAACCTGAGCTGTCGCTTCCACCTTCGGGCGAACCGCTCGAATACATGGTCGCTAATTTTCCATCGAGTATAAATCGAAACCATCCGTTGCTCCCGTTCGAAAGCTCCAGCGCCGCAGCATCCGACCATATGTACAAACAATCTCGACCTCGACAAATGCACCAATCTCTCCAGTGATATGCTTTCCCTGATAAAATTTCTTTGGCATCCTCTAATACAGGTTCTTGATTAGTCTCTTCCTGCGCAACCGAGAGAGAGAGAGAGAGAGAGAGAAAAATTAACATTCAACGAACCTAACAACCCTTTCGACACCCCCCCCCCCAAATAATAATAATAATAATAATGATGATGATGATGAAATTACATTTTTATCTGGTTTTTTAATTGGTGGCGTCATGACGTCTTGCGGACCCGCAAGTTGTAAAACTTTCGAAAAAACTCCCAACCTAGCGAAATGATCGAGAAATATATCCTGAGCTTTTATCGTCAAATCTTGTATTATTTGCAAAACGACTAGATGACCATCTTCATCTTCCTATAAACAAAAAAAAAAATTAATTAAATCAATTATCATTATCTCGATGGTAATAATTTAAAAAAAAATGATAATAATAATAATAATAATAATAATAAATATAAAAAGCTCGTAAAAAATTTAAATTTAATGATTAAAAAAAAAAAAAAAAAAAAATTCAAAAACTAATTAAATTAGTATTTATATATTAAAAGAAAAACAAAAAAAAACACGTTTAAATTTGTAATGGTGGTGGGGGTAATCGAGGGGGGGGAGGAATAGGAGGCGTGGAGTTGGAAATCGGGAGGGGTAGGGGGCGTGGGGTGGTGGAGGAGGAAATCGGGAGGGATAGGGGGCGTGGAGTGGTGGAGGGGGAGGGGCAAGACACAAAAAAAAACGAACAAACCCATTATTTTACACCCCCTTTTACACTTAATATGTTAAGTTAAGCACTCGAGTCAGATGATTGAGTAAATTTTTTAACCCCGTTTCTTTCCCCTTCCCCCCCTATTTTAAAATTATTTAATAATAATAATAATAATAATAATAAACGATCGATTTTATCAATACCCCTTTATCGAATTTTCATTGACGGAATAGAAAAAAAAAAATTATTATTATTATTATTATTGTTGTGATTGTTGCTGCTGCTCCTGCTATACTTGCGTTAAATTTATTCGTATAAAACGCGCGCACACACACACACGCGCGTAATTTCGAATTAAATCTCAGGAATAGGGGGTGGGTGGGTGGGGGGTTTCAACAAACAACTCCAAAAATTTTTTTAATACTTTTGAAATTGTTCAAATGTTGCAAACTACCGGATATTCGATCGATTTAATTTTGTTCTAATTAGCGATTTAAATACGGAAGATACGTCTAGACAAAAAAAAACCTCACGTCATCATCATCATCATCATCATTATTATTATTATTATTTAGTTAACAAACAAACAAATTATCGCGTTTGTCGCGTACAATTTTTAGCGATTATACCGCGACGTGCCAGCCTCTAAATTCGAATAAAAAACAAATTAATGACTTTAATTAGTTTTCGCATAACAAAAATCAAAAATAAATAAATAAATAAAAAATAAACAAACAAAAAAAATCGACAAATCAAATAAATAAATAAATAAATAAATAATTAATTAAACAATCAATAAACTCGGATTCAACGGACTTTCCGGATGTTCACGTGTACGTATATATGACGTCAAATTAAAGCAAGAAAAAAGAGTGGAAGTAAAGAGAGAGAGAGAGAGAGAGAGAGAAAAACAAAACATTGAACAAACCACAAAGGAAAAAAAAAAAAAAAAAAAAAAGAGATGATAATAATAATAAAAATTAGAGAAAAAAAAAAAAAAAAAAAATTAGAAAGAAAGAAAGAAAAGAAAAAAAAAAAAAAAAGAAAAAAAAAACTATAACATAAAAATACATATGGTTTGTTTACCGTACGGGATATTATGTATTTTTCATGCATATCTCGACGTATAGCAAAAAGGCTGGCCAAATTGACTGGTCCTGCTTTCGGTGCCCAACAGTAAAATTTTGTTGGTAAACATTTATTCTCAGGCCAGCAGTAACATATCTGGAAACAATTTCATTCCCCGTCAATTTTATCATGATAAAATTTAATTTGGAAAAAGGGCGAATGTGCTTATATTCATACTTTATTTTTTTTTTCCCCCCCTGAATTCCCCATTACCATCACCAACACCGCCACCCCCCGCCCTTCCCCAAGTGTTTCCGGTGATATGTTTCCGTTCAATGTTTTTTTTTAACATTACGTAATACAATTCTCAATACGAAAAGAAAAAAAAAAAAAAATTTACTCAACCATCTTCGTATACCTCCTCGGATTGAATATTTTAATTTAATTTAATGGGAAAGTCGTTCGGTGACTTTTCTTTTACGAAAATCATCGGGAATTATTATTATTATTATTACTTTTTGGTTTAATATCCCCTCCGCTTTTAATAGGCAAATTAAGAAACGACGAAAGTGAACGAACATTAACGTGGCACACACGAAGCGTTCATCAAATTAACGTTTTTTTGTATCAGGCGCAACGTATCAGGCGCACCGTATCAGGCGCAACAAATTTTTTTTATTTTTTTTTTTTACCTCATTATCAAGAACGGTTGCGATAACTTCGACGAGCATGGTTCCCAAATTATGAGTCGAAACATCCGAATTACAAGCTTCTATTAATAAACTAGGTTGAATGTAATGCACCATTTTCTTAATTAAACTTAAACTTGCTTTCCTGTAATAAATACAAAAAAATTTTTCCTTAGTTCAATTAAAAACATTTATTATTATTATTATTATTATTATTATTATTATTATTATTATTATTATTACGAAAAGTGTTACGTTAATGTTTTTTTTTTTTTTTTTTTTTTTTTTTTCATTTCGGTTACGGTTGACGGATATTATCAGGCAAAAAATATCAACTAACCTAACTGAGGGTAACATCGTGCTCTGAAAAGTAGCGCAAAACACGGGAAGCAGTCTTTTTAGATAAATAGGTGCCATTTCCGGATCACCTTTGGGCTCGTTAACATCTTCTGATTCGACGGCTTCGCATTTTTTGTCCTTATCGCCAGGTATTACCCATTCCCCTGTTAAATTAAATTTAAAAAAAATCATCTTTGTGCTTCTTCTTTTCGCTTCCGATCATCGAGTTTTTTTACGAACCTGGCGACTGCAAAATGGCAGCAACTTCTCGATGTCCTTCATCGATTCTTTCTCTCGCTTTGTCTAAAGGTGTTTTACCGTCTTCGTCTCTCAAATCGGGATTCGCACCGTGCCTGAGTAAAACTTTAGCTATCGCCGGACGACCGAAACAAGCAGCGTAATGAAGGGATGATGACCTTTGACCCTTGTTCACGTCGGCTCCTCTTTCGCATAAAAATTCAACCATTTCTTGCGTTCCGAACGCGGAAGCCCAATTAAGAAGCGTTTGACCGACGTCATCCATGAAATTGACTTCTACTCCTAGATAAATATTAATCGCATTACTTTTGGGGAAAAAAAAGGGGGAGGAAGGGGTAGAAAAAAATTCGTCATCGAACCTGCGTTATCGATGGCTTCGACTAAGGCATCCGTGTCCTTACTCCTGATGCAATCAATAAGCTGCCTATGGCACTTTTCACCAGTACTATCCATTCTCCTCATTCTAGGTAACAACTGACCACTAGACGAACCAGCGCGTAGTAAAGCTTTTCTCCCTTCGAAAAGTAATATCAAAAGCAAATCGACTAATCTCATTGAGTCTAACGAACACCTGAAAATTTTTAATTTTCATTTTTAAAAAAAAAAAAAATCAGTTTGTACTTTGAAATGTGAAAAAAAAACTTACCTTTCATCTCCTTGCAATGCTTTTTCAATCGCATCAGGTAATTGAGATCTTAATAAATCATGGGTGATGCTGTGGGATCCTCTACACAAAGCGGATAATAAGCTAATGATGGTCGAAACGGACGACGAACATTTTGTTGTTTCCGGAGCCGACGTACTCGTGTTTGCTCCGAGAGTGACTTTTTAAAAAAAAAAAAAATCAATTCATCATCATCATTTTGCCAAAGGGGCGAAGAAAAAAAAACTTTATTGAAAAATTATTTACCGGGTCCGTTCGTGACGGCAGCAGGACCTGCAGCATTCGACAACCGCGATAAAAGCTCGTTGACAAGTCCGTGCTCCGCTAATGGAGCCGGATCGACTCCGCGACGGGTAAACCTATCCGATAAAGATGCGAAACACCTCAGAGCTCCATCTGAAACCTAATTTCATGGAAAACGTTAACATTTTCTTTCTTATCAATTGAACGGGGGAGGGGGAAGGGAGAGGCGGAGGAAAAAAAAAACGTACATGAGTATCTTCGTGCTTCAGTAGTGTTGATAAAGCTTCGACGCAAGCAGGTAGAGAAGAATCCTGAGGTTCCATTTTAGTACATAATCTTGAAACGACAGCCATGGCAGAATGAAGAGTGTCTTTGTGCACCCTCCAACCGTTATCGCGGATAAACATTAAAACGCATCCGAGACCTCCTCCCTCGAAAACCGCGCCCGCTTCTCGAACGCATATCAATTCTAAAACCTATTTTCAATAATAATAATAATAATAATAATAATAATAATAATAATAATAATAATAATAATAATAATAATAATAATAATAATAATAATAATAATAATAATAATAATAATAATAATAATAATAATGATGATGATAATAAAATTAATAACGGTCGAGTTTCGCGAGTTTTTATCATTTATTAATACCTTTATGCATTGTTCTGCCAGATCTTTACTTGTTCTTTCGCTAAAATCGGACACGACTAGTCTATTACAAATGGCTTTTACCGCTCCATCGATTGCGATTATACGCCTCGTGCATTCAGCTGACACATCCAGGTAATAGGTTATGGCTCTCGCAGTTACTTCCAGCACGTTGTCTGGAGCACACTCGTCAAGGAAAATCCTACAGAGTGCAGGCAAAAACGTTCTCGGTGGACAACTGGAAAAAAAAAAAACAAAACAAAAAAATCAACGATGATAATAATACTACTTTGTATAAAAAAATCATTCGAGTTCATCGCAATGAACTTAATTTCGTCGTTCTTTTTTTTTTTTTTTTGTTAATATTCAAAACAAAATTTAAAATTTAAATTTTTTTTATATAAAAAAAAAAAAAGTAACAAACGATAAAAAATAAGAATGGCAAAGCCATCATTATATACCCACATATAAATAAATATTATAAAAGGAAATCCGCCTTAAATTCGAAGGAAACAAACACACAAAAAAAAAAAAAAAAACAATTACGAGGATTTGAGTAGAGAGGGGAGGGGAAAAAAAAAAAGTTATCTGACAACCGAATCATCATCATCATCAGCAGCCTCTTTAATATTGCGCAGTATTAAAGAAAAGAAAATATAACCGGAAATAGAAACGCACGCACTCACACAAAAACATAGCTCGGAGCATAAAACAAACAACAAACAAGTGTAGGTGAATTCACATGTTGACTATCTGATTAATAACAACACCTTTGATACCTCCTTTTTATAGGCACGTGAGAATGTTTTTCTTTCTTTTTTTTAAGGATTGCCGACCGTTCCGAGAAGAAACCATTTTCTTTTTTTTTTTTTTTTTTTTTTTATTGATGATGATGATAATAATAACGATAATAATAAAATATTTTATATAAAAACATTCGTTTGTGTGCACATACGACGGAGAGGGAGGCATAACTTTTATATAAGAGCAACCAACGCCGTAAAATAAAAAAATAATAATAATTAAAGAAAGAGTGCAACGACTCACGGAATTGTAAAAATTATTAATAATAATAATAATGATAATGATAATAATAATGATAATGATAATAATAATGATAATAAAAAAAAACCGGATTTAATCATCAATCCGGTCTTGATGCGAAAACTTTTTTTTTTTTTTTTTTTCTTTTTCCATCATCAACTTCCATAATGCATAATCAAGTTTTCCATTGTTTGAAATTTCTTTTTTTTTTTTTAAAAAAATTTAATAATGTTATGATAATTCCAAAATGGCGACGGGAGGGGAAAGGCGGGAGCGACAGGAGCAGCAACAGCAGCAGCAGTAGTAATTGGCATCATTAATAAAGACATAACAGTAACCGTTAAAGCGAAAAAGTAAAAACGACGACATTTTCACATCCGAAAATTTTAAAAAAAACCGACGGCGGATGATGATGATGATGATGATGATAATCGATTATTACGATAAAATCAATTAGAAATCGATTTTTTTTTTTGGAGAGAAGAGAGGGGGGGGAAATTCGCGAGTCTGGAATTTATCCGTTTGAGCCTTTACAAAAAAAAAAAAAAATTAAAATATTAATCGAGAAAAACCTGAATTTTCAACCTGATTACGTTATTACGCAACCGATTCGAATTTCACTTTAAAATTTTTTTTTTTTTTTTATTACACTTCGTCCATCGACAGGATTTTAAAATTCGATTTTCGGCAGCAGCAGCAGCAACAGAAAAAAAAAAAAAAAAAATTCTTTAAGGAAAAAAAGCAAAACTGGCCGCCAAAAAAAAAAAAAAAAAAATTTGGCAAAAGTTAACTAATTGAAAAATTGAGCATTTACAAAAAAAAAAAAAAAAAAAAAAAAAAATCGAATGCAGATGTGAATCTTTTTTAAAAAGACCCCAATTTTAACTTTCTCTCTCTCTCTCTCTCTCTCTCTCTCTCTCTCACTCTCTCTGGTATACATCGCATCCGGCATTTTTGAGCTTTTGACCTTTATTAAAAAATATTGACCAAAATATATAAATATTTTATTATTATTTTTAAAATTATCGTTATTTCGCATTCTCGATACGTCGATACATCGTTCGATACATCGATCGATCGATCGAACGAACGATATATTTTTTCTCAAACGTGAATTTTTCATTTCAAAAAAAAAAAAAAAAAATTATTTTCTTTTTGGCAATTACGTTTAATTTCACGCAAACGAACGTCGTAACGAATGCAACAACAACAACAACAAAAACAAACAAACAAACAAACAAACATTTTTCTTTTTTCTTTAATAAAAGTTTTAAGAGGTCAACGAACTCTCGGAACCGTTGAAAATTAAATAAAATTTTCAAATTTTTCAAGAGGGAAAAATTTTTTTTTCTTTTTTTCTGACATTTACAACTTTCTTTTAGGTAATAGTTTTAAAGAACCTTTCGTAAACAAACCCCCTCGTCTACCACCCCCTCCCCATTGAATCTCGCTCGCTGGTCTAATAAAAAAGTGATAATAATAATAATAAATTTTTAAGAAAACAAAATCTTCAAAAGAAGTCAACTAGAAAAAATTAAAAATTATTTTTTACGAATTTTACGTAAAACAATAAAAAAAAAAAAAATTAGAAAGTGCGACACGTAATAGAAAGTAGATGCAAATATATATATATATATATATATATATATATAAAATACGTTGAACTCGTAATTTCGTCTAAATCAAATATTTAATAATAATAATAATAATAATAATAATAATAATAATAATAGTAATAATAATAATAATGAATAAAACACGTGTATTTTTATTCATATTCCCGAATTTTATCCTTCTTTATCTGAAAAAAATCATTCGAATCATTCATCACTCTGAACGATAAATAACAAAAGACAAAGAAGAATAAAAAGAAAATCAAATGGCAAACTTCCCTCCCTACCTCTATCCTTTTCGCCCCCTCCTCCCCCCCGGAACAAATTGATAAGGTAATCAAACCGCGTTAAACATTTTTTTTTTTTTAAAATAAAATTTCCAGCATTTTCTACCGGGATGGTGATGGTGGTGGTGACGGTGATGGCGACGGTGATGATCGACACATTAATCACAAACTCGTTCCGTTTATGTGGCACACACACAACGTATTGTAAATATCTAACCAACCTTTTCTTTTCTTTTCTTTTTGTGTTCAATTCATGCTAACGTAACGGGGTTATTGCGACAAAAACTCGTAAAAAAAAAAACATTGTTTTTTAATGATTCGAAATGACGACGACGACGACGACGACGACGACGACGACTACGACGATCCCGCACATTATTATTAAAGTATTTTTTAATTGGCACCCGGAGAATAAGAGAGAGAGAGAGAGAAAAAAAAAATTTATTCGCACAAACGATGAGTTTTTTTTTCTCTCTTTTCAAATTGTTCCGCATTTTAACATTCTTTTAAAAAAAGGCAAAAGGTGAGAAATAATAATAATAATCATAATAATAATGATAATAATAATAATAATAATAATAAAAATCAACGGACAACGACGACGACGACGACGACGACGTCGACATTTTGAAATAAATAAGAGATGAAAAAATAAATGAAAAACCTTAACATGATCACAATGATCATCATCATCATCATCATCATCATCATCGTCATTCTCTACATCATCATCATCATCATCATCATCATCATCACGGTAGAAATAATAATAATAATAATAATAATTAAAATTTTTAAAAAGAGAAAAAAACATTACGAAAGCTCTCGACGTTTCAAGTTGATTTTTTTTTTTTCGATAGCTTTCAAAGGTAAAGAAAGGTCGTTTAAAAATTATTATTATTATTATTACGCGTATGTGAAAATAATGATAATAATAATAATTCCGTAAAATTTCTCGTTTTATTCGCGGTGCAAAAAAAAAATAAATAAATAAAATAAATGACCGGGTTCGGCCAATGGCTTTTCGAGTAAGAGAAATATATAAACATTGCAAATTAAATTTTTTTTTTTCGTTTTTTAAAACCGGTAAAGTAAAAACTAACCATTTCCTGTTTACGTATATTTTCTCTCTCACTCACTCACTCACTCACTCACTCTCTCTCTCTCTCTCTCTTTTTAGTAAAAATAAAATAAAATAAAACGGATTTGAACCGCGAATTTTTAAAAAATTTCAATTTTAAAACTCGTGTAAAAAATTATTCACGTTTTTACTTCTTTCTTTCTTTCTTTTTTTAACGGACAACGAGAGCATTCAACGAAAAAAACCATTTATTATTATTATTATGATTATTTCTTTTACATTCGAAGTAAAGTTCAAAATTAGCCTCGGGCTTTCACGCGTTTCAAATAACGGACAAAACAAAAATATTAAATACATATAAATATATCGAACGCCATAATTTTAAATGAACTAAAAAAAAAAAATGCGTATTGGAAACTTTTGCACGAAAATCACGAGAAAACATAAACAACAAAACAATAAACATTCATCATCATCATCATCATCAACGTCAATATAATAATGCTAAAAAGTTTAATAATAATAATAATAAAACACGTGCACAATTTTTCATTCGTGCAATGCACGGATGGTAAGAAAAAAAATGAAAAAATCCCCGCTTTACCGTTTGTTTCGCTCATTCATTCATTCATTCATTTATTCATTCGATATTGTCGGGCTCTGTGATGTCCGAATGTTTCTGTCGTACGTGGCGTATCATCTTTTAACGGAAAAAAAGAAAAACAGCTCATCGACGACGGGCACGCGAACAAACATAATTGTTAAACAATCATGAACGGACATACGTGTTAAAAGATTAATGGTTTTTTTCGGCGGCATCACCATCACCATCACCATCATCATCATCATCATGGTCATCATTCATTACCGGAAGTGAAACAACGATTCACGTGAATTACGTAACTGGGTTTTTCTTGGCTATTCAAAGGTCTTCGGACGCGAATACATTTTAAATAAAAAAAAAAAAAAAAATATTTACCTTTCGAAACATCGGTCCACATTGTCTGACATGAGAAGAAGCATGCAGAGTTGTTCTAAAGCAATCAATTGCATATCCCTCTCATCTCCCTGGCCTATGCTCAACCACTCCAAGAGAGTTTCTGGATCTACTTCCGCCATCTAAAACAAATTTTTTTTTTTTTTATTTTTATAAAATTACAATTAAGAATTTGATACTTTTTAATTTTTGTTTAATGGAGAATAAAAATAAAATCTCTTTCTCTTTTTTTGTTTATTATTTCGGTATCCTTTTTTCCGGAAACGGAAATTTACAATGGAATCTTATAAGAGGAGGGGGAGGAAAGGGAGGAAGTGGAAAAACCTGAAATTACAAACCCGATACATTTTTTTTTTTAAAAATTGTTTTAATTTTTACGTTTTTTTTTTTTTTACGTGGGATTAGAATTTTGGCCACGGATAAAAAAAAAATATTAAAATCATTATTATTATTATTATTAATATTTTCAATGAACATGATTGAATTAAAAAAAAAAAAAAAAAATTAGAACGAGTGTTTTTTTAACGCGAACACCTTCAAGGCTTTTTACGCTACTTTTTCACTTTGTTGTTGTTGTTGTTGTTTGTCGTCGTAAACAAAAAAAAAAAAAAATGCGTACAAATTCGAAATGTTAATAATGATTATTCGCGTTAGTAAAAAAAAATCCTTTACTAATTCCATCGAGTGAAATTTAAAATAATAATAATAATAATAATAATTAAAAAAATTTCAAACGATTAATCAACGTGACTGACAATACCTGAAGAAATTGATTAGAACGTATTTTTTTTTTTAAAAAAGATTGAAATTTTTTTTTTTTTTTAAATTATTTTCCATTATTTTGAAAAAGGATTTTTCACAATTTTCAATAAAAATTAAAACGGAAAATCGTCAAATAATAATAATAATAATAATAATAATAATAATAATAATAATAATAATAATAATAATAATAATAATAATAATAATAATAATAATAATAAATTAAAACCGTGGAAAATCCTTTTTAAAAAAAAAAATTTTTCCTTTTTTTCTTTTTTTTCTTTTTTCTGAAACGTAAAAAAATAAAATAAAAATTGGACTTTTGGCACGGACGAGTAGACATCGATCGATCGATCGATCGATTTATCGATCCTTGAATCATCATCATCATTATCATCGAATTAATCCACATAAAGACGTACGTACGAGAGAGACGTGCGTGGGAGAGAAAGAGACAAAAAAAAAACAAAACACAAGCCGCCAAGCCTTGCCTTTTTTCTTTTTCTTTTTATTTCTTTTCTTTTCTTTTTATTTTTATTTCTTCTTTTCTTTTGTTTTGTTTTCAAGATCGACACTTTTAAATATAAACGATCGACAAAAAGAGACGGGAAAAAAATAAAAACAAAAACAAAATAAAGAAAAATAAAATAAAAAATACGCGAATCTCAAAATAAAACGAATTTTTTTTTTTTTAATTGCCGCCATTGTAAAAAAACTTTTCACATTCTCATTATTATTATTATTTTAAAACAAAACCCCGAAATAATAATAATAATAATAATAATAATAATAATAATAATAATAATAACAACATAAATGATACAAGTTAAACAAACCAGAAAAAAAAAATTCAAATAATTATCTATCTACTTTGAAATCCGTTAATATTGTCCATAATCCCAACCGATAAAATTTCATTAAGGCTCCTTAACTAAATAACAATAATAGTAATAATAATAATAATAATAATAATTTTAACTCGACTCAATTTTGAAAAATTTCAACCAAAAAACAAATAAAAAAAAAATAAAATGAAAAGGAGAAGACAACTTAAATCTCAACGCGTAATCAAATTTTTTCCTTTTTTTCTTTTCCTTTTATTTTATTTTATCCCATTTCGTATTTTTTTTTATTTTCTTTCCTTTTTTTCCTTTCTTTTATTCCATTTCGTCCGTCTGACACACCGACGTTTTCAGTACATATATATAGTAGGAAACCGATAAAGTCGACATTTAAATAAAATAATAATAATAATAAAATATTCACCGTTTGCTGAATGTGGCAGATTATGATGGCGACGGCGATGATGATGATGATGATGATGGTAAAATGACATCGAACGTTTGTTTTTTTCCTCTTTTTTTTTTTTTCTTTCCTATTTTAATTATTATTAAATTACGATGAAAAGTGAGAGGTATCCGATCCGCAGGTGAGGTAGGGAGACAAAAACTATTCTCCGCAACAACAAAAAATAATCATATTTATCAAAATATTTATTAATAATTGCGCTCGACCGAATACCACGTAATTCTTGTAATAAAAAAATTGGTACACGTGTGTGTGTGCGCGCGCGCGCGCAAAGTGCGTTTCGACAATACATTAACCGAATAAATAAATAAATTAAATTAAAATAAAAACACTTTAGAAAAAATCGCACAAAAAACGATTCAGGCGAATCCAAAACTACATCCTTCCCCTAACCCCACCCCACTCCCTCACCCTCCTCGTAAATTCAACGACTTCATCATCATTATCAGAATACGTGTATACCGTAATCAGTGGTCAACTTTTAACGCAACGATAATTTTAAACCCCGAAAAAAAAAAAAAAAAACAAAAGCGTGATGACCGCCATTTTTTTTTTTTTTTTTTTTTTTTTTAGGAAATTTCTACGGTTGCCATTTAATTTCCAATAGGATTTAATGAAGAGAGAGAGAGAGAGAGAGAAACGGTGGAATTAATTAATTTTTTTTCATAACGTAAAAATAATAATAATAATAATAATAAATTAATTTATTTATTTTTTAAACCAATATTTATTTTACGGCGGTTTGTTCTCGCTTTTCAATTTTTTTTTTTTTTTTTTTAAAGGCTTATTTTTCCATTAATAATAATAATAATAATAATAATAATAATAATAATAATAATAATAATAATAACAACAACATCGTCATCAACATAATCATCATCATCATTTTCGTCGAGGACTACTCGTATTCCACAATGTCATCACATCTTGCCAGTTTTAATATAATATAAAACCATTCAAGAGTGAGTCGTTCGCTTTGCCACTTTTGACAAATCAATCACGTTTCCATCTTTCGAATCCATATTTTTCTTACGTAAATAATTTCAATAAATCGTTTGCATAAGTCTTGTTACATTTTCAAACAACAACAAGAAAAAAAATGCGCGTGAGTGCGTGTCAATCAATCGAGAGAATCCATTAAAATAATAATTTTTTTTTTTTTTTTTTTTGAATAAAAGTGAAGGAGGATGGCAACGTGAAAACTTGTTTTTATGTTTTTCCTTTTCTTTCTTCCTTTTCAATTTTTTTTCTTTAATTTTCGAGTGCGTTCTTTATAATAATAATAATAAATTAATTAATTATTAAAAAACGTGCACATTGTTTTCCATTGTTTTTGTTTTTGCGATACGAAAATTTCAAAACGATCGTTTTGTAATTATTTAATTTCTGATTTTATATTATTTCGTTCCGTTTCGGTCTTACACCGTTTCCACCGCTCCCATCCA